GGGTTGAGACAGGAAAGCAACCCCAAAACACCACAATATCAGTGCCATTCATTGTCAAACTATTTCCTCAGAGCCCCCTGATGCTGATGGCCACCCTATGGGCTTTTCTGATAGCCTGAGTGTTTGGCTGTTCAATCTGTGCGGGCAGGTGCTGTGCCTCAGTCCTCTACCCATGAGCAAACACTTCACCCTTTCTCTCACACAAATTATGTAAGCAACAGCATGAAGCCACAGTCATGCAGATAATTCTCCATAAGGTCCAGCCTGCTAGAGAGACACCTCCATCTCCCTTTCAATCTGCCAAAGGCACATTCAGCAACCATGCAGCATTGGCTTAGCCTGTTGTTGAACTGCTCCTTACAGCTGTCCAGGTGTCCCATGAAACAAAAAACAGGACTATGTAGCACTTTAAAGACTAACAAGATGGTTTATTAGGTGATGAGCTTTCGTGGGCCAGACCCACTTCCTCAGATCAAATAGTGGAAGAAAATTGTCACAACCATATATACCAAAGGATACAATTAAAAAAATGAACACATATGAAAAGGACAAATCAAATTTCAGAACAGAAGGGGGATGGGGGCGAGGTAAATGTCTGTGAGATAATGATATTAGAGGTGATAATTGGGGAAACTATCTTTGTAATGGGTAAGATAATTAGAGTATTCAAACTTAGATGTAAAGTGTCAAATTTAAGCATGAATGACAGTTCAGAGGATTCTTTTTCAAGTGTAGTCTTAAAAGGCCTTTGAAGCAGGATGCAGGTAATCAAGTCGTTGAGACAGTGTCCTTTCTGGTTGAAATGGCAAGAAACTGTTTTTTCTTTGTGATCCTGTCTAATATCTGTTTTGTGGGCATCGATCCTTTGGCAAAGTGTCTGAGACGTTTGTCCAATGTACATAGCAGACGGACACTTTTGGCACATGATAGCATAGATTATATTTCTGGATGCGCAGGAATATGTGTTCTTGATCTTATAACTCACTTGGTTAGGTCCAATGTAAGGTGTCCGATGTAAGGGTTCATTAGTAAGGTCTGAAAGGGATAAGCCAGTCACAAAGGTTCACTATATACATTTTTTCTACATCCCCCCACTGTAATTTTGAGGTCTGGAAAGAAAAGTTCCTGCCTGCAGCTTTCTGTACAGGCCATTTATTGTTCCTGAACACGCATGCATCATCCACCTTGCCAGACCACCCTGCATTTATGTCTGTGAAATGCCTACGGTGATCCATGAGCCAAGAAGTATCCTTTCCACTTGATGTACTCTGTGACAAAGTGGGTAGCACTATCATGGGAATATGTGCGCTATTGATTGCCCCACCAGTTTGGCAAGCCCATTTCTGCCACTGTCATCCACAATTCCCCATGTCAGTCCTACACTGCGCAATGTGATTTATTGCCCTGCACATTTGCAGAAGTGCTGCCCCAAAAGTAAACTTCTGCATTCCTAACTGATTTGCAACTGAACAGTAGCAATCGGGGGTCACCAGCTTCCACAAAGCAATTGAAACTCTATTCTCTACCGAGACCGTAGCTCATTCCTTGCACCATACTTCAGCTCTGCACACAGCTCCAGGAAGGTTGTAAATTCATGGACAGTAGGACCATCAATGCTTATTAGCCAGAATGGACAGGGATGGTGTCCATAGCCTGTTTGTCAGAGGCTGGGAATTAGTGACAGGGGTGGGATCACTTGGTTGGTTCATTCCTTCTAGGGCATCTGGAATTGGCCCCTATCAGAAGACAGGATACTGGGCTAGGTGGACCTTTGGTCTGACACAGTATGGCTCTTCTTATGTTTCACATGCTACAGTTCTAAAACCACTGCTCTTCATTCCACACCTGCATCAGAATGCGATCCCACAACTCAATGCTGGTTTCCCTAGCCCAAAAATCTGGGCTAAGGACAGACAGAAGATGTATCTTTTGACTCTGTCCTACAGACTTCTTCCCCAATTTAGCAAAGCATATGCTTGAAGTACCTTAAAATCTAGCACATGCTTTGGTTCTTTACTAAATATTAGAACCATACTGGACCACAGGCTCCTCCCTATTGAATGACTGGAAGAGAGGCCCTAACACCTGCAAAAGAGAGCTTCTCTTCTGTAGTATGGCCTCTGCTTCTAGAGACAGTAATAATTACACCTCAACTGTGGCAACCTGGACAGTTACACTAGGCTTTTTCATCACCCCCTCTGACAGAACCATTATCATGATCTCCCTGAAAACTGATGGGTAAGTCTGTACAACTCATATTCCTCTCCTGAGGACCAGTTTATCCCATTATTAGTAGTAGTAGTTGAATTCTGGTGGTGTATGGCTCCTACGTAAATCCTAAAAATGACAATTACTTCCCAGTTATTCCTACAGAACATCCATTTAGCTAGAATAATTTCCTGAATCACAACTCTGTCTGCAGAAGAGTAACCATTTCATTTTCCAAAGTGAAATAAGTGTTATAGAAGTGTGCTACATTAACCTGTGATTGTAAATCTTTTTCTAAAGAAGTCAACACCACAATTAAGTTACAGGAACATTAACTGGGTACAAAGTCACCAAGAAGTGGCTCTTAGCTATTTCCAATTAGCAGAGTCATAGGTTGTGGCACATATAACTCCATTTATAGTTTTGGGGTTTCTTCAACATATGGTAAAAATTCAGGATGTCATGCTGACCTTCATGCTCAATTGCTAGCAAAATTTTCTATTCACGAGAGAAAATAAAATTCTGCAATATGTGAGGGTTTTATTTTAAACACTCAAGTGCGTGCATGTGCACACACCTGAATTCAAAGTGAAGCCACAAAGTTTACGTGATCATGTTAATTTCAATAATATTTGCATTATCCAGGGACATTAGGAAATGAGTGATCAGCTAATCGTGTAGTTCACTTTTCTAGGATATTAATGGAGGACATGCAGCCTCTGAGATGGAGGTTGAATGCAGAGGGGAGCGTGGGGTTAGGAATTGGGGTGCAGGAGGGAAACTGGAGTCTGGGAAGGTGTTTGGGTGAAGGAGGTAGCTGTGAGCTAGAGCAGGGGACTGGAGTGCAGGGGTTTGGGATGTGACCTACAAAAGAAGGGGATTGTGATTTGGGGCAGATTAGGGTGCCAGATCTGAGAGGGGGTATGGGTACAAGAGGGGGACAGAGGGTTTAGGTATGCTGAGTGGGGGAGCAGAGGGTTGGGACAGCAAGGGGCTGGAGTACCAGAGGCAGGCTGTGGCCAGGAGACTTACTAGCCAGCACACAAACCAGCCTGCCTGCTTGCAGAATTTAAAACATTTCCCAGCCAGCCTGCCTGGTCATGTGCTTCAGTGAATAATTAAGAGAAGAGAAGAGGGGGAGTGGTTCTTCCTGGCTTCCTGTTATTCCAACAACCAGCTCCCATTGGCCGCTTTCTGGCCAGAAACTTGCCAGTGGGATTGTGCTGCGGGTGGGACGGTCCTGAAACTTCCCCCCTCACCTTGTTTTGAAACAGAAAGGAAGCCAGGCAGCTGCATTTCTGCACAGCAGGCAGGAAGCCTGGCTGTGGATCCCCACGGCCTCCACAGGCTGGACCCCAGGGCTTGGCGGTCTCAATCCATCATGCGGACTGTATTTTGCCCAGGCCTGGTGTAGTCGATAGAATTTCTATCGACAACATGATTAGTCGATAAGGGAGGAAGCCTCAGAGAGCTACTCCTCATTACTGCTCTGCAGCTGAAATGCAGTAAGAACCGGATGGCCATGGTTAGGGTCTACCCCCACAGCCACAGCAGGGGTAGGGTCCCGTCCCAGAATGAGCCAGGTCCCAGTGGGAGGCTAGGACCCCGTGGACAGGGGCTGCTCCACGGGATGTGGAGCAGTCTCTTCTGCCTGTGGTGAGCCTGGTTCCACGGTGGGCAGAGGTTGCTTTACAGGAGCCCTCTCTCCCCCTCACTGCTGCCTCTAACAGAGGCAGTAGCAGAGGGAAGGGGAGGTGGCACTGCAGAGATGGTGCTGGGGGAACCGGCTTTTAAGCTGACACCCCCCTACACAGAACTGGCTCCTGCTTCCCCCCGCCCCTTTGCTGCCTCTGATACAGAGAGAGCAGGAGAGGATTCAAGTACAGGCAGTCCCCGGGTTACATGGATCCGACTTACATCGGATGCCTACTTACAAACGGGGTGAGGCAACCCCACACTAGCTGCTTCCCCCCAGCAGACCAGGGAGACGCGAAGCTAGCGCTCCCACCCCCCAGCAGACCACGGAGACGCGGAGCGGCTTTTCTCAGCAGACACCTCAGCTTGAGAATAAAGGACTGAGGGAAGTGAAGTGTGGGAGAATAACACTGAGCTCTGGAGAAATGTTTGGCAATAGTTTCCCCTACAATATGTACCAGTTCCGACTTACATGCAAATTCAACTTAAGAACAAACCTACATCCCTATCTTGTACGTAACCCGGGGACTGCCTGTAGTTGACTACCCAATAAGCCTAGGCTTATTGGGTAGTTGACCACGCACTTATATCCTTAGTATTGTCTGAGGAGAGCATAAGTTAATTATTGAAAATTACTTTGTATGCTTCAATGTACGCGCACATGCACACAAGCCCCAAAATATCTTTATTAACCCTGCTCGAGAACCTTGTGAAATGATTTTTATGGTTTAGTTGCACTGGAGTGGTTAACTACAGCCCACAGTCCACTACCCAATGCAGGACACACACAAAAACACATTAAGTCGTCCTCTTCTCCCATGTCATCCAAAAACAAAACTTCCCTTTTTTTAAAGGGGAAAAAAAAAACCAACAACTGTAAGAGCCAGAAACTTACAAGTTGAGTTTAGATACCCACTAATACAAGAATGATCAGGCAGATAAAGGAGAGTTTCTTTCATAAGGCTGCATCCATTTACCTTTTTTAAAACTATGCTAGGCCATTACATTGTATTTACTCCCTTCACTCCTCCCTCTCATTCCTTTTGGTATACTCCACCCACCATTTTAAGTGTCATGAATTAAGACCAACAGCACAATTCTAGAGAAACATTTATTATAAGGTTGCAGGATTTATGCCAATATAAAGTCCCTTATTAAAACAAACTCAAGTTTTGAATCTGTAGCACTCTAGCAATTCTTTACCATCTTTATACTGCAGTTCTCATCAACAGTCAATACCCTGACTGCAGAAATTAATGCTACTTGCTCATAAAAAGTTCTGATCTAAAAAGTCTGTGTACAGGCCAAAGTAGTTTAAATTTACAGCTACGGTTACATCCACAAGTGGGCCATACCAAGAGAGGTTTCATAAAACAAGAAGAAGTTACAAGATAAACCAATTTATAACCAAAATACTGACACAAACGTGAGAGATTAACCACAACTAAATCTATGACAACTAAATACCACAAAAATCAAACAAAAGAATAAAGATTTTAAATGTAAACTTAGAGAAGGTTCCAAATATACATAAGAGTTCAATACAGTAATTGCACAAAATGAAAAAGCAATGCTAGAGGTTTATAATCACTGAGGTTAGATCTTACATGCTTCACAACTGGTGTTAGAACAAAATCTTTAACGATAAATGTTAAAAAGTTGGGGGTGAAGGGTTAAACCAGAAAACTGAGTGTAGAGCAAATCTACAGAACTATACTAAATGTGCAAACCACAGATTATTTATGCATTAATGTAATCATTCTGTGAAAAATCAAAAGAGGTGTATGAGAACTGATTCTGGGCAAGGAATCAATTAACTTATTTTTTTTTGTTATTCCCAGAAAAATTCTAAGCCAGACACATTCAATGGATAAGTGGACACCATTTTTTTTCTAAACTTCTCAAATTTCAGTTTCATTAAAAATATTCTGTTACACCAAGAATCAAAGAAAGCTGAAATGGTGATTTTGTGTTTTGTAATACAAGCAATACACAGGAGATTCATAATAAGGCTTTTGATTATCACTGCACATTTTAATTTAGAAGTCAAGCTGTAAAGCTCAGACGTCTTAATGAAGATGTGAAATAGTCACTTTCTATCCATTTTTTTCACTGTTGACAGATCTTTGTTTCAACCACAAAAGAATTTGCAAAGTGTCTGATTATATGACAGCTCTCAGCTGAGCGCTTCTGGACACCTGTGTAGAAGAAAAACATGTAAATTAGAAAGCTACAAGATACGATCTGCACAGATAGCAAGAAGTATCTGTACATTTTTTAGAAGACCACAGTATACGATTGGTTTAATCTGGCAATATAATTCAGTTAGCTGTCACTATGGTTGTGCAAAAGGTCGTTGCTACTGATTAAATATTAACCCCCCCCCCCACACACTATTCTCAAAATCTATGTTGACATTTTACTAGGGCTAAACAGTTGCTAGCTGCCACTTATGAATAAATGTAAATTTCCTTCTGTTTCTAGTATCTTCTTAGCCCTTCAGACTGTAAACTGCTTTCTCTAAACCAATTAGTTTTGCCATATTCATCCATCGAACAGTGGTACCCAACATGGTGCCTGACTATTAGCAACAGGATTTTTTGCGGGGGCAGGAAGAGGGAGAGTTTAACAGAACCCATGAAGAGAAAAAGTTTCTGATGAACATCGTCTCATTATACCATTACAACAGAGAAACTGACAAGAACGTTAGCCTTCACTATGAATTTAAGCTCATTTTAAAATAGCTTTTATAGCAAGTTTATAAAGCCACTGGAAAATTCTGTAACTGGGTATAAAGTTGCCCTATGTATGGAATCTCATTAAAGTGTTCTAGAATATCAAGAATAAGCCACACTACTATCTTTTCTCATCTGTTTCCCAAGCCCACAAAGCTTCTTGGAAAAACAACGTTGTTTAGAAAGCTAATAAATTAGTGGCAAAATAATCCAGGACCTGAACACAAAGAGTTGAGGACTCCAACTAAAGCAGGGGAGGGCAATCATTTGTGACTGGGGGGACACTTCAGAAATTTCTGAAGTGGGCCTGGGCCCAGGCCGCTCCGGAAGGGGTGGGGTCAGGATACTTCTGTGTTTCCCCGTGCATGAAGTCTTTGCACCCCAGCCGTGCCAGCAAGAACTGCCACCTATTCAGAACAGCTGGTGGCTCCCTCTAGGTGCCTGCGCCCACAGCAGTGGGAGGAGTCTTTGCGTGCTACCCCCGCCACCCAGAGGTCAATGAAGGTCTGAGGATGGGAGGATTACGTGAAGTCTGCCACTGCCCTGCAAGGGAGTGCTGCGCTCAGTCACCTGTCTTTTGCCCACCCCTGCTCTAGTGTCTCAGGACCTCTGACTAAAACAAAAGAGTAAAAGTGAATTCATGTTCAGATTGGTGTTTTGGGCATATCATTAATGGTTTTGTAACCTATAAATAGCCCGTGTCACGCTGGTGGAGAAAATCTTCAGACTCAAAGAATCTAAAGGGGAACAAAACTACTTCAAAATAAAAACACAGGTAAGGCAGCAATAACCCATTCAGTGGGGGCATTAATGCCTACTTGTTTCTGTAGTGAAGTGTTTAGTTTCCTATTTTCCCCTCTCTATTGAGGTAGTATATTGATTATACTAAAAGAAACAAACACTCACCTGCTCTCTGATCTCTGCGCTGCAGTCTGAAGGTGTCTCTTCCAACACAAAGCTGGTAAATGAAAATGCCCAAATCAGACACATTATCTATCTCTTCCGTTACCACCATTTCTTCACGGACTAGATATGTCTGAGGCAAGTAAGAACCAGTCTAAAAAAACAAAAAACAAAAAACAGAAACAGAAGTTAAATTCCGTCATTAATGTTTTGTTAAAAAATTATATTCGTTTTCTGCACAGTCACCCACCAAAGAATTAATAATTTTTGTTCATCACTGTATTGTGCATGGTAATTTTGTTCACTAGATTGTTAAACAAAAACGGGAATCATTTTTTACATTACCTACTCATCATTATAGGTCCCATTCAAATTAGTGATTCAAGCTATAGTTAGTGATTTGGTTATAGTTAGATGATAGACCAGGGATCGACAACCTTTTCAAACCAAAGAGCCAAACTACATCAAAATTCAGAACAAATGGTCAACAAAGAGCCACTATAAGAATGCCCATTTGCATGACTGAAAATATACAATTTAATATTATTGATAATAGACATGATGATTAATAATAGCATAAATGAAACATTTGACTCACAGACTTTATTTAATGGGACTTCTGCTAGACTGTGGATATGGAGCTGCAGGAGTCAGGGATGGGATGTATGAGGGGCTCAGGCCAGTATATGGGAGATGCAGGAGGCAGGGCAGGGCGGATGAGGTGGGAAATAGAGTATGTGGGGTGCCCTGGGACTAGATTACCTTATCTGGCCTGGGCTGGGCCGCTGCACCCACCCAGGCAGCAGTGGCTGGACAATGGGCCAGATCGCCACAGCTGGATCATGGCCTTCCCTCCTACATGTGCCGCAGCAGGAAGGGGGCCACCACCAGCCCTTTCTTTGGCCAGATGGGGTCCGGACCATTGGGCCTGCCCCAGGTTTGGAGCTAGGGACAGGATGCTGTGGCCGGATGGAGAATGGGCTCTGCTTGGGGCCTTTTTGGCTAGACTTCATTTTAAACAAAATAAAATACTATGTCCAACACAAAACATTTCAACACTGTCTCTATTTATGGCAGGGGTGGGGAACCTTTTGTGGGTGGGAGGCCACTGACCCACTGAAAAATTAATCAGTGACCACACAAGTGGCCCCCATCTGAAACACCTCACTCCCCTGATGCTCCAGCCTCATGGTGGTGGGAGGGGCAGGAAGGACTGAGGTTCAAGGCCCCAGGCCAGGGATTCCAGGGTTAGTGGATTTTGTGGCCCCCCCAGGCTCTGGGGTGGGGCCAAAAATGAGAGGTTCAGTGTATGGGACAATGCTGCCTGCCAGTGAGTGGGGGAGGGCGGGGGTGCAAGATCTGGACAAGAGGCAGGGTGCAGGAAAGGGTGAGAGTGTGAGGTCTGGGGGGGATGTAGGGTGCAGGAGCAGGCTAGGATTGCAGGGTCTTGGTGGAAGGAGGGTGCATGAGGGGGAGTAGGGGTGGGGACACTTACTTGTTTTCATGCCCTGTGCGGCTCCCATCATCATATCCCAAGCACGTCCTCCTATTCCCATTGGCCGGGTTTCAGCCAATGGGAGCAGCGGGAAAGGCTCCAGGAAGCGCGTCTGTATGCTGCTGCTCCCCCAGCTTAGGGGAGGGGGAAGGGAAGCGGCAGCGTGCAGAGCCACTTCTTGCTTTACTTCTTCCCCACAAGCTGGATCCAGAGAGGAGGCTCAGGGCTCTCCCCTCCGCAGGAAGTCAGCGCTGGTGCTCTAATTTTGCAGGGGGCCATGAGGCTGAAGTGCTAGCGCAGGCTACCTGCTGCGGGGGGGAAATGAGAGGTGGGGGCTGAGCTCGAGCTACAAGAGAGCCATATGTGTGTGGCTTGGGAGCCAAAAGTTGCTAGACCTACTCACACAACCCAATCACATGGAGAAACTAAGTCTGACTGTCTAAGCAGATGGTTCAACCCCCACCATTATTCAAGAGTTTGTGTTCTCTTTATTTTAAGGCAAACTATTTCCAGTACCATGAATACAGCTACTACTTCCAAACATATTTATACCGTGGCAGATATAATTTCTCTGAAGAAGCAGCAACTTCATATAAAAGAATATGGGATCATAAGAGCAGTGCGCAATAAGTTAACACAAACTCCCCTTCCTTCAGATATTATACTACCTGCTCCTTTTGAAAAGGCATACACACAACATAGGAGAGGATTATAAAGTCTGTTTCCATAAAGACTTCCTAGAAAAAGTTAATATTGTTTCCAATACAGGTAGCTAAGCCAAGAAACTAGCAGTCTTGAAGTTTCTCTCTCTGGGTAGAGGTATTAATTACAGTCTGCTGATTTCAATGACACATGACACACTTTGCTTTTCTTTAGTTTGTAGGGAGTCTGAATAATATTAGAAGTTTTAAATAGTTTCCAAAGGCCATCTGATTTTCTGACTTTTGGGTTTAAAAACCCTAAAATTGATAAGCAAATCTAAAAACATGGCCAAGGAAAGTGTTAACAGAGTTTAAAAATCACATTTGGAAGCAGAAATCAAATTTTTCTTACTATAACTCTAAAAGGCAGAATCCCTTAAAAGTGCCAAATTGTTCACAGTTGCCAGGCAATTGGGTTTTAAGTCAGTATCATTACATAAGCTCAAAACGGTACTCCAGTGAATGATCAGAGGTCAAAAACTTGGAAGAACAACTGAATACAGTTCTTTTGTGAAAATTTCTATTTAACCAACATAAAAAGCCATTCCAATAACTTCCAGTTTCAGACTTTTGTTTTCAAAGGTCTGCTGCATGTTTTTCTATAGTGACCATATCTGATGTTATTTGCAAGTTCTTAGCTTTCTTAAAGCTAGATACCTTGAAAATTCAAGTTCTTGATTCATTCAATAAGTAAAAGGTGTACTGGAGAGCAACCATGAAGCTTTATCACAACAGCACAGTGAGCTGAAGGGACTACATGCTAGGAAGTGAAAACTTTGGTTGTGGGAAGAGGGACAGTTATTGCTACTGAACTTTTTACTTGCAGCTTCATTTATTATCAGAAATCACTCCTTTAGTTGCACTATTCAAAGTGGTAAAAAAGTTGTACATACCGCCAGTTTTGCAAACAGGTCCATCAGATTCCTTGGTGGCATAACAATGGATGTATTCAGAGGGATCACATAGCAGTTACCCAGTTGTAAGTCAAGATAAGCAGTCAGAAGCTATTATGGAAAGAAGTTTAATAGATATTTTCAATTTATTAAGTGCTACCTTACTTAGTGATGATTACAACAGACTTAGATTCTTTGAAACACAAAACCCATTAAGTAATCTAGCAGGCCAAGATCATTGTATATTAAAAACATCAAAACAGAATTTAAAAGCCAGTTCCCCCAGCACCGTCTCAACAGTGCCACCTCCCCTGCTACTGCCTCTATTAGAGGCAGCAGCGTGGGCGAGAGGCAGGGGAGGTTGCCGCCAAGCAGCAGTATGCCCAGGCTCACTGCAGGCAGAGGCTGCTCTGCAACTCACAGGGCAGCCCCTGTCTGCAGAGGGTCTCAGCTAACCACTAGGATCCTCCCCCGTGCTCAGGGGTTGCTGTTCCTGGCACAAGCTGGGAGTTAGAAAACCTGCATCAGATCCAGGAGCTACCTCCACTGTAGCTCTGCAGTTCAAATGTAGTAAGAGCCAGGTGGGGTAGGCAGCCCAGCTTCTACTATACAGGCAGTCCCCGAGTTACACGGATCCGACTTATGTCGGATCCGCAGTTACGAACGGGGTTTGCTCCGCGTCTCCCTGGTCTGCTGGAGACCAGCAGATCAGGGAGACGGGGAGCAAAGCCGCGGAGCACGCTGGCAGCGGACAGCCCAGACGCGACGCGGCTGTCCCGCTGCCGGCATCCTCAGAGGCTTTGCTCCCCGTCTCCCTGGTCTGCTGGGTTCCAGCCGACCAGGAAGACGCGGGGCAAATCCC